TGGCTCCTCTGCCCGGCTGTGGGAAACTTTCTCGCCTCCTGGTCTGGGGAGAGCTCATTACGCCTCTTTTGCCGAGGACCTGGCAAGAGCTGTGGGTGCTGTTGACCCCAAGGCAGCGGGGCGATGGCTTGTGCTTTCACAGGAGGGGGAGTTAGCTGGGTACGCTCCAAGCCAGGGGCAGAAAAATCAACTTTCTGCATGCCAGGGAAGAGCAGCTTTCCTGTTTGCAGCATGGGGGAATTCTGGATGAAATGAGCAAGGGCAGGAAAATCCGCCTGGGAAGGCTTCTGGCGTACGAAACTTGGACATGTCTGGAACAGCCCAGACAGGAGGGAAAATATAAGGTGTGCAATATCTTGCTTACACTATTCTGGGCCAAACGTGGTGTCATTGTGTGGAGGCCAAATTGACAGAAACTGCAGAAATGTACCCGATGCTGTGTAGTTTCCTTTATGGCTCTGGCAGAATTCCCTGCTCTCTGCAGCGGCAGCCCTGAAACCAGAGAAAATGTTAGGTCCTGTCCAGATTGCCTTCCTATTCAAACCATCCTGCAAGTCTGAAACAAAAAGCCCTTGAAAACCGCTTAGCAGCTGCCCACCGAGTCTTTTGATTGTGAAAATACAAAACAAAAGCCTTTGTTACCAGCATATCAGGCATTTCACTGGAAGTAGTGTTTCTAGTGGATGTTGGAGTGGGCTGTAGGCCTACTAATACACTTATTGTGAGCTTTTCTGTGGAAAGGGAGCAGTCGGGGATTTCCCCAGCTGACTTCTCGAGTGGCCCGCAGCAGAGAGCCCTTGTGTTGGAAGTGAGCCGTGCCCTCAGATCATCAGCTTGTTCCCTCTTCTGGGAAGATGTGCATGTTTTCCCTGTGCACACAAGGTGCGGCGGCTGTGCTTCCCGCTGCCGCTCCGGAGCCGGTTGGAAGAGGAACTGTTGGGAACAAAAGCTACGCTGACTTCTGCGGTCCAATTGACTTCTGACTTGGGGGCTCACAGAAATTGTGTTCTCCTAAAAATACTTGCTTCTCCTTCCCTCTTTCCATCAAAATATGCACTTAAGTGCTCTCTCAGGATCCATACTGCAGCCCTGGGGCACGACATCAGTGTGAGTTTCACCTGTAAGCTTCTGTGTGAATTTGCTCTTCAGGCTCTGGAAGACTGTCTGGCAGCAGAAGGCCGTGCCACAGCCATACAGGGATCCCTGTCGAGAGGGTGTTCGTATGGATGTCACATCAAATGCAGTTCCATCCCTGGTCTGCAGCTTTGACACGTTCTCATCCTGGAAAAATACTGCTTATGACTGAGATTATTGTTTTAAAATATTCTGTCTTATTAAGCCTGTAGTGGCTGATTCTTCATATCCCGCTGATTTATAATAGCAATCAGGAAAGCAAAGTGGTGCTAGAAGTCCCATAAAGACAGCTAACCCTGGAATGCATTAAAGGAATACAAATAGCACCTCAGGATTCGTTATCGCTCCCGTTCACTGCCCAACTCAGCATTCAGTTTTGGAGAGACACAAATAAGGACAATTCTTTCTGTCCAAACTGAGGTAATGAGTGATAGAAATGGAGAGCAGTGGGAAGAGTTAGCATCATGAGGCACAGGATTTTTACGAAGGGATAGAGCATTTGCTGGCCTGTTAGTAAGGTGCAGGTTGAGGTCTCTCATCTGCTACCAAAACAGAAGGTGCAGCACTCCAGGGAAAACCTTACATGTTTTTTGCATGTAGTATTCATTATGTATTATTATTATTCATATGCATCTCAATTTCCCAGACTAAAACAAGATATTTACTGTGCCTTTACTGTTGCTGCTACATCCGTCTACTCAGGTGTTACTTGTTCTGTGAAATGCCTCTTGAAGTAAAGATATTTAGATGGGCATGTTTTAAATTGGGAACAGTAAGTGTAAAATTAGATCCCTGTGTGTTGTTTTTGTAAGATTTTGGGACATTTCAGCACATGCAGTGAAACCGCCCATTGCTTTCCATGAGATTAAGGTGGGAGTAGGCACGAGCTAGTGCTGTTTTCACTGACTTCGAGACATCAAGAGAAGGCAGAACAGTGTGGATCTTGTAAGCTCAGGGAACACATGTGTTTTACTGGTATAAATGTAAATTTGAGGCATCTGTGGATTTGAAGGATTACCCACTGTTACCTATTTAGCTAGATGGTGCAGAACGAGCATCTGAAAGTTGTTTAACTGGCCTGTGGAGGCCCAGGGTGCTTACCACTCTGCTGGCCCTGCATCTTTGGCAAGCAGCAAGACAAGGATGTTGCAGGCCAAATGTAAAGAAATACCTCTCGCTGTTTAGCTGAGTTCAAATTGAGCATGACTGGTTGAAAGGTGTGAGTGCAAAAACAGACAAAAGGTGATGTAACAGTTTTATCAGGTAACAATCACCATAGCAACCAAACTTTGCCATGCATGACAAGTTCCTCCAAGTCTTTCCACTCTGATTCTTTTCCACACAGCTTTTGTTACAGCAGGTGTGTTAAGGACTTCAGCTGAAGTGAACTGTGGCTCTACAGGGTTCTTTCCCATGGGACTGTGTGCAGTGTTTTCACAGCTATACCTTTTCCCGCATGTAATGTTAAACCAACCTCACGTGATTTTTAGTTTTCTCTCCCTATCCAAATCCTGCAAATGTTTATTCCGTTGGACTTGCTGTTCATGCTAGGGCGCAGTGCTGGGCACAGTGCTGAGCCTTCCCCAGAACCTCTGGTCTGCAGCATCCTTTGGAGCAGACGAGCACCAGATTTACTCTACTCTGTTCTGTCATACCAGTAGTGCCACACACACACACACACACATTAGATAACAGTCTGGCCTCTGCCGGGTCTGATCTTTTCTATTTATCATCTATTGCAAGTAACAACTGCAATTTTTTTCCCCCTGTTTTCTTTGCAGAACACAGATTTTGACTGTAGACTGTGCTGAGTCTTTCCGATTGCTAAGAGAGGATATAAAAATTAAAATCTATATTTGGGGCGGATGGCAGTGAGCTTTTAACCACTACGGGGAAAAGATTGTGTAATTTGAAAACTCACGAGTACGTTATTTCAAGGAAAGGACGCATAAAGAATACTGATGATTCTTCATCAACAAGGCCCCTCTTATGTCCTTTTTAATTTGGCCAGTAAACCAGCGCCTGCAGTGTGTTGGGATAAACTGCTAACTTGGAATATTTCCTCGGCTGACTTTGTGAAAGCCCTTCTGTTGCTGCAGCCGGGCACAGGGGGGATGTGCCACATGTGCTGTCCCTGTCTCTGGTTATAGAATGCTGCCGTTGGCAGGCCAGCCTCGGAACTGCAGGGTGGTGAGCTGGGCTTCCAGGAGCATCCGTCGTGGTCTGTGCAGAGTTTTCACAAACTTTGGGGTGTTCATTCCCGTGGGGCTCAGTGGGCTCATGTGGGAGGTAGGGGTAGGCTTGTTTTGGAGATGAAATCAAATGTAGTCACTTGGCAGCAACAAGGGCAGGAGGGGAAGGCAAATGCATGGCAAAGCAGTTCTGGGCAGCAAAGCACAGACAGACGTCTCCATACATGCAAAGTTCCCAAGTGTCAGGTTCGACACTGCAAAATCTTTGTCCCAATTTAGCACAACTCCATGTCATTCTTAGCCCCCTTTTTTTTATTTTCAAACCTGATGTCTTTCTCTCTGGGCTGTCTATGCTATGAGGATGGGTCACAGAGAAAGGCTCCTGGGTCTCCACATCAGCACCCTTGCACCAGAGGTGGGACGGTCCCAAGCCTGTATAGCAGCAGGCTGTGGGCAGCCGTCAGCTCTGCAGCAGGGAAGGAGGACCTGCCTCATGCTACACGCTCACCTGCACTGGGAAGTGATTTTAAAAAGCCAGCTTACACCCCGAGCTGCAATGCTTAGCCCTCCCCAGAACTTCTGCCTTGTTTGCTTTTGCTTTCCCTCATAGAGATGTTTGTAACATAAACATACTATAAGGTACCTTAGTTCCAGTTTGGCACGCTTCATGTAATTAGGTTTTGGTTCATAATTGGTAAGTTAGTTTTGGTAACTATATAGGAATTTTAAACCTCACTACTGTGGCTTATTTGAGAGAAAAAGAGTACCTCATAGAAGAAAATGCCTGTACTCTCTCTTCCTCCATATTTCTTGTGCTTACCCTTTTCTGTCTGTACTCCCCTCTCTTGTTCTTAACTTTTTGTTTCCCACTGCCACATGGACTGGACTTGCTGGCTCCTAAAACAACCCTAGTAATCTACTGTAATACAGACTGTAGTACAAATTACTCGGGTAAATTTGAGCCCGTAACTGAAATCAATGGAATTGCTCTGAGGGTGGTGAAACACTGGCAGAGGTTGCCCAGGGGTGGTAGATGCCCCATCCCTGGGAACATTCAAGGTCAGGTTGGATGGGGCTCTGAGCAGCCTGATCTAGTTTAAAATGTCCCTGCTCATGGCAGGGGCTGCTTGGACTAGATGACCTTTAAAGGTCCCTTCCAACCCAAACTATTCTATGATTCTCTAGTAATTTCTAAGTAAAAAGAAAATTGTTTAGTAAATTACCCTTAATGGCAATCCTGGTATGCTATTTGTAATTAAAATCTCTATATGATTACCATGATGTTTGATTTCCCTTGGTAGTTTTATTTGCTATCTCATTCAACACACAGTAGGTGGCATGTGCCAGGTATTCTTAAGTTTTTATTTATGTATATTTGTAATTATTTCTTAGTGTGATTTGGTACGTACAAGACCATGATCAACCAGAGAAGTTTGTTTTCTCTTTTGTCTGCTGCATCGCCGATCCTGTATTCTAAAATGGTGAATGTCATAAAAATCAATCTATCTGTGAAAAAGTTTAATGTAAGAACTACCTCCTGTATTATCCAAGTAGTCGTAAGGAAAATATTTTCAGCCTGTCAGCCCAGCACTGGACAACCACTCATGCACTTGCAAGCTGAAGTGTTATTTCTGTTTTGAAAACAGTTTTCTCCTTCGTTTTCTCCTGTTCCAGGGAGAAGAAACTGAAAGCTAGAGTGCAGGAGTTAGTGAGTGCTTTGGAGAGACTCACGAAGAGCAGTGAAATCAGACATCAGCAGTCTGCAGAATTTGTTAATGACCTTAAAAGGGCAAACAGGTAAAGGATCTACCAGCAGATGGATACACCATTGATTTCCCCACCCCCCACCCCCTGTGTTCGGGTAATTCACTGTAATCCTCCCCCTACCTTAATGAGCACTTTCTGGATCCCTGCATTCACGCAAGCTGACTCTTTAAGGTTATACTTGGTGGGGAGGGAGGGGACATATAAATGTCCCATCTAGGACACTGAAAACCCCATAGGTAAGAACAGAGTAGGGGAAATAAATAGGTTAATCTTAACTGAGTCACTAGTAAATGCATTATTACTAAAACAAACAAACCCCTCCATTTTGTCAGATTTATGAATCTGTTATTTTGCTTAAAATGGCTCCATTTTCTTTGGCTCCAGTCTCTTGGGGTGCAGAGCACTACCCACCTCAAGCTTTCCTACTGAGTCAAGGTGGAGTCACAGAAGATACTTAGCAGTTGACAAATTAGCACAAGAGGCCATCCTCTGAAGATAACTGTTACTTTTTTAAATGGAATATGCAAAATCAGTGCTAGATTTTGTAAGCAGATTCTGGCCATGCAATGTTTTTGTAAATTATTACATGTTTAATGTGGTGTCCTGACTTACAAACAGTGCTCTGCAAGGTCATCATCAGCAACCACCAGCTACCTCTTTATACCACGTTTAAAAATGTTTTCAGTAACCAGTGTACTGGTAAAGGTGTGTACTTGCCTGCAAAAAGATACAGAGATTAGCACTGATCTGGGTTTGGACCAATAAGGTTTGGATCTAATACATTTCAAAGCACTAGTAAATTTTAGGAAGCTGATGAGTACCCCAGCTTTGGAGTTTGCTGAAGGTGCGGCTTTGGGGTGGATTTTTTGTAGCACTTGCTATCAACAAGACTTTTTCGAATAACCTTCTGTTGCCTTGTATTTCTAACAGCAACTTGGTAGCAGCTTATGAAAAGGCAAAGAAAAAGCATCAAAATAAGCTGAAGAAACTGGAATCACAAATGATGGCCATGGTGGAGAGACATGAAACACAAGTAAGGATGCTCAAACAAAGAATAGCTTTACTAGAAGAAGAGAACTCCAGACCACACACCAATGAAACTTCACTTTAAATGCATCTCTTTCAAAGATGCTTAGTGCCATTACAAATGTCTTTCTTTCGGAGGCTGACTTTTAGGTAGCTTCAAACGCTAAAAGCTCTGATTGTCAACACTGACACACTTAAGAACCTTCTCTGGGATCCCAGAGAGGTGCCATGGGGATAATATAAGTGTTAACCTTAAGGACTGTTTCATAATGTAAAATGGCAGTGCCTGAATTATCATGCTATAATTATGTACATTGTCTGTGTCATTATGTCTATATTCATACAGCTTCTCTTCCATTTTATGTACGTCTCATGGGTGACAGTGTCACATAGCAAAGTAATTCAAGTTAGGAGGTTTTAATTTGGGCAGTTTGGAGGTAATTTGAGAGTTTTCCCAATCCTTGAGCTCGCTCTGCACACAACTCTGTATTGTACCCTCAAGACTTGCTGCTGTGGTTAAATCAACTAAATGTGCAGCTGCAGAATGGGGAGATGACAGGCTGGCTTGCTTTTTTGCACTGTACTTGCAGTACTGTTGCTCATAGTATAGATCAGGTAAGAAAACTCCTGTTGGGGAAAAAAAAAAAAACAAGAAACTATAGTTGCATCTCCAAAAAACTATGATAATGGTGTATTTCTTACAGTTGGTATGAGGACTACTGTGAGTTTCACCATGCCAGATGATAGATAGTCTGTGCCAAGGTTGGGTAAGAAATTGTAGGAGACTTCCTGGTATTTATATTGCATGGTGTTTGCAACTATTTTGTGAAACAGTGGGGTTTTTTTGTTTAATATGTTATAGCCAAGGTTTTCTTTAAGAAGCTGGGCCATTTTTGTCACGTGTGTAGTGCTTATTACAGCTTTCTGTGATCAAGAGGTAGAATGTCTTCTTTTTACACTTGTTTTGACCAAAAAAGGTACTTACTAGGAATGTACCTGTTTAAATATTTAATAGGCACAAAAAAACTATAAAAGCATAGGTGTATGGATATACAGCCACAAACAGAATGTGAATGGTGATGTCTTCATACAGCTTCTTAGGTTAGTTTTTGTTACTGCTAACATTCTCTTCTTTTGTTTATGTCACATCATGTTACTGTATTATCAAGCTGACTGAAATGGAAATGTTGGCCTATTATGGTTATTAACATTAAGCAAAGCATGGGGATCCGGTTAATCTCTCTGGAGAGCAAAATACAGGAGTCTACCGTAACACCTGCTTCATTCAGAATTTGTGTCTTTTTGACCAAGTATGTAAAACAGCTGCCATGTTTGTTTTAACATGCCAAAGCAGAGTCCATTGACTTCATTAGCCTGTTACGGTGCTACACCTGTACTTTGTATTTTCACGTGAATTTGATTTTGGGAGTTGTCTATCCTTTTTGCTTTTCATGTTGAGTTGCACCTCAAGTTTTATTAGTGTATTTAGAATTATGGTAACTTCTCTCATTTATTCTTCCAATTTCTAGTACTAAGGAGATATTTTTAGAGTACTTGAACTGTTTTTGTCTACTCTTGGATTAGGCCAGGCAGCCAAAATAGCTGCGGGAATTTGTGTTCAGAATATGGCATTATTGTTAAGTCTTGGTTACACCTGAAACTGTAGCAGTTGGTGTTCATGACATCTCTTATTACTGTAGCTGCTGTTTTCTTGTTTTTCTACTTCTCTATAGTCTGATACATCAGCTACAAAGCCAACATCATACATGATTAATTGCAATAGCAATGAAACAATGCTGATTTCAAAATTAATTTGTTGTGATGCCCTGGGATTGGTTTCAGTCCTCTTTCTCAAGATAATTGCACTTCTGAACTTATAATGCAAATGGCAATTTTTGCAAGCCAGTCTGTTAAGGGAGCAAGCACACTGATTTGTTACTGCCTTTATGGCTTTGCCAAATATGTTTAAGGTGTTTCCCTTTCTTGGCCAAGGCATTTCCCACCAATAGGAATGTTGGGCTTTGCCATAAACTTCAGTGGCAGTTGATCACACTTGTTTCTGAAGAAACACAAAGAGAATTATCCACTGTGGCAAAAACGCAGTCACAATTTTGTCTTCTTGCACCTGAAACACCCATGTAACTTCAGGTCATTTCAAACTGTCCATGTGAAATACCTTTGGCTTAAGGTGACTAGAAACCACTGCTGCACTGGATTTCCTCTTAAGCTCTTTTTTTTTTGTTCTGATTTCTTGGTAGCTTGAGAAGCTGTTAAAGATAATACAATGAAGCTTCAAGCATTTTAATTGAAACCTGTATTTAAAGGGAAGATACAAATTAAGAAAGCATAAAATGCACCTGGGTTTTAAGGCACTAAAAGCTGCAGTGTTCCTTGGTGCCTTTCTCACAGGCCTAATGATTTGCTGATTCTGTGTAAACTGAACATTGTTTTACCACATTTACTATATGTCTTCCCTGCCAGCTATGCTCTAAAAATGTTTTATAATAAATTGTAAATTATCAGTAAGTGTAAGCCGCTCCCCCTTTCTTCCCATAAGGCTGAGATAAAAAAGCAAGACTGGTGTCACACAGCCTCAGCAGTAGCTATAGTTTGCCAGACCACCAGTTATTTTGCTTAAGCAGGCAGCTACTGCTTCATTTGTTGACATACTGGAAAAGGCCAATAGGGAAGCGGTGAAAGGTTTACTGTTACTGTGAAAACCATTTAATATTAAGAATTAGCTGCCGTTCCAGTGTACCTGTTAAAATGGCACCGACCCTGAGAATAAATGCCAAAAAACCTAATTCCTTTTATGCAACTTTGAAATACCATCACACCAGCCTATAGACAAGCATGCAGATCACCTTGAGTCACAGCAGCCTAACTCACTTAACACTTATTGCAGAAATACTACATTTGCAAAGCAAGAAATGTAGGTGATTCTTGCCAACAGAACCTGTTGTTCACTCATTAATCTATCTTCGGGTGTTTTTTTGATTTTCTAAGTCACCAGAGTGCATGAAACTTTTTATTTCACAGTGTGTTCAGACAAAAAAAAATATGTACTTTTCTTTCTAATTAAATGTATAAATCTTCACCAGCTTGACTGTACTGTTAGCTATTGCAAAGCACATGTGACTAAGTTTGCATTAATGTCAGTATTGTTCTACTAGTTCTATTAGGATTTTCTCCTCCTTTAATACTGTACCATACCTTGTACTTTTAGAAACTTCTCACCTTACTGAATTAGCTTTAAATGTGTTGCTGCTTTTTAGTTTCCTAGCTGCTGTAAAATAGCTATTTTGTGTTTATTTGATATAGAATTGTAAAAACTGCATTTATTTATACAGAGACATTTATAATACTTATTTTACAAATGTTCTTATATTCTGAATAAATTTCTAATGCTGTTTCTTTGCCTTGGTGATTGCTTTACCGTACCTTGTCATCTTACTGCTAAATGAGTCTGCTTAAAGATACCACAAAGACTTTCTCCAAGATAAATTATTGAGATGGTATGACCCTTCATGTCCCTATTATGGGAACCTTCCTCACAAAAGTTGGTAAGAACTCATTGGAGACCTGATCAGATGTTTTAGCTGAGCTCAAGAACATTACTACTTGCCACAAGACCTCTACAGCTTCAATGAACACTTCAGAAGTGCAAGGGGATATGTGAAACCATTTCCACACATCCGGTTCTTTTAATAACTATTTTATGGACACGTACTTCCTTTCTCCGGTACATCTAATACCTTTTAAATTTTTTATTTTTTTTTTTGCTTTCAGTTGCGTTCGATGGGCCCCTTGTCCACCTTTACAATTGACTTTAAAAAAATAATACTTATTTTCCTGGCAATATATATAATCAGTGCTGCTGATTGGCTTAAGGCAACATTTAAAAGTCCCACAGTGAAAGAATAACCTGTACCAGTAGCACAGGCTTTATACTTCACACTGATCAGCAATGCTTATATTCATACTAGGTACTTCAGTAAGTTTATGTATAAAAGTCATTTAATTGTGCAGAGAAAAATTACAGTATAGAAGAAAATGTCAATTTAGTCTTAGCCTCTTAAATGGTGCGCTTCTGTTTCTGGATCAGTGAACAACAAATAAAATCACAACCATCAGTACAACAGATGTTACATGTAGTTACAGATTTTATTTACTAAAACTGAAGAGCTGACTAATGCAAACTTTCTTCAAGATAACATAAGGGAAATTGAATAAAATCTGTAACTGTACATGGTTTTAACCCTATTAGCTGTACATACTTTCTACTTAAACAGCACCAATATGCCACTTAGATACCAGTGAGGAAAACAGATCAAGTTCTTGAGCTTTAAACAAACAGGAGGAAGACATAACCCTTCATGCATGAGCCATATAATAAAACACTGGCTCCCTATTTTCTGCAAGGCATGCAATGCTGCACAGAAAAATGTTATCTTTGGGCAGCAATATTTGAGTCAGCCTGGGTCCTGGAACACGTACAGCAATCTAGCATTATACCAAAATTGACAAACAAAACTCCACCTATTTCTGTGAAGTCTGTTTTGCTTTTTAATGTTAAAGTGCCTTGCAAACCCAGCTAAACTGCTTCTCTGGGCTGAAGTGTAGCTTCCACATACTGCAGTGCCATGCAGACATAGTAAAGTTACTTAAGGTTCCTGTTTTAAGTATAGGCTTGAGATGTATTTGCTGAGAGCTCTTAATCATGCAGTTTTGCATATCTTTCCTGCATAACAAAAATACTTACCCAAGCAGTAAGATAAAAATGGTTCATCTCCCTAATTTAGTAATTTTGCTCAAACATGCTTTAACAATTTGCAAAGTAAGTTTTTCTCACAGAGGGAAGTGTGTTGTAGAGAACTGAGTTTTCAGGATCTATATTCTTAAAAAGCTACAAATGCCTTGTTTTAAAATGATTAATGCTCCATGAGCTGTAATCATTTTCTTAAAGGCACTGAACTGTAACCTGTAATGGAAACTGGGAGCTAGTTCTTCTGATCAACAAAAGAAATTATTAACAATGACAAAAAGTGTTTTCAGTAAATTTCATAGTGGACCTATTCCAATTTAAACATTCTGTACCTTATGAAATTTTGGTAATTACTTAAAAGCAAGCTTGCTTTCTTGCAAGTATGGAAGGAGGAACTGAAGACACTTTTACCTCCTTCCCAGAAGTATCCCAGAGCTGAGAACAATTTAAAGATAAGGGTTACTGTAAAGCTGAATCGATATATTAAGTTAAGTCAAGTCTAGCTTAACCTTAACATTTTGAATGAAAGGACAAGTGAAAACCCTAGCATTTAATTTTAATGTACTACTACTACTCCAGAATACTTCCTCTTGTATGATCTTGAATGTGGCCAGTGTAATTGCTATGTATGTTGTCTTCCTTTTAAGTTTACAATCTACTTGAAACAGTGAAATGCACACACAGCATAAATCCTCCTGCATTGATCAGTGCTTATGTACAGGATTAAGAACAGTGCAAATACAAGCATTTAGCCTACTTTCATTCTTGAACTACACTATTGCTATAAATGCCTAAGAACAAAAACCTATTATGCAAGAGTAGAGATATTTCCAAGCCTAATTTACTGTAAAAGCACCTTCAGTTAGTTAGTAGAAATTTACTTTATCTTAAATAATTTTGGTTGCTTCAAAAGCTGAAACACTGTAATAACAAAAACAATCTGAAATTATGAAGTCATGTATAAGCACCAGATTATTTAACATTTACAGTTTCTGTAAATAAACTCATTTAAGTCACCAAGAGAGGCTATTCTACCAGTTCTCAATAATTTTGAGCTTCCTAACACTTTTAGAGTATAACCTCCTAATTTAAAAGATGAAGGCACCCGACTTTACCTCTGAAAAAACTCTGTTGCTCAGAACTTATAAAAAATAGATAGCTGACCCAACAACTGGACAGCCAGTCACCCATGGAGCAGCAATGCTGTCTTGCACCACAGGATATTAGAGCTTGGATTCTTAACGTGTACTCTTGCTCCTCACACCACAATGACAGGAGTGCTGCTATAAACTGCAAATCAACAAAAGCAACTCTATTAAGTAAAAGTTTGAAAAAAAAAAATCATATCTGAAATTACAATCTGAGAGCAAGTCTGTGAGGAATAGCCAGACCCGAAGCCTGCCTTGTTTTTAAAAGGAACTGTTACATTTATAACAGCCACAGGCAGGTGAAGGAAAAACACAGTAAGAATTGTGCTCAAATCACCAAATTAAATGAGAAAGGTTGGAGCACAGCACAGAAGCCTGGAACAGTGACTAGGCCCAACATTTTATTAGAAACTATTTATGCAAGTTTGGTCTAAAGAATTTACATCGTGTTAAAAAAATACTTTGATTGTGCAATAAATAAAGCTATTTCCCCCTTTTCTTCCCAGTACCACTGTTTCCAGACTTCAAACTATGTAAGACATGGCTACTTTCAAAAGCACGCGTGTACATCGAGGAGTCAGAAGTTAGTTTCATTTCAGCACAGAACATACATCATTCAATTACGCAGATCACTCTTCAGTCTGAGTTCAAAGTTTAGAGCATTCTGTGAAGGAGAGATGCTAAAAATCTCACATGAAAGCAGCGAGTTTATGTAGTACTAGAAACTGCAAAGTAGTACTAGATTCCCAGCACCCACACATTTGTAGTTTTTTTTGTTAAATGTTTGTTTATTCCACGAGTTCTTTAATTTCAAGAACACTGAATAGTCATTCATAATCTGAATAACCCCTTACAGGCAAGCATTCTCAAATTGAGCAATGATTGTTTTTCAAGTATCTTGACATCAGCTCTCACGTCTGACATACAGCTACTTGTTTCTCTGTATCTAGCTCCCATAAAATAAAAACTCACAGAACTAAATCCTATATCTCACTTGTTATTTCTTCACGGTTTTATAGAATATAATGTAAACTGTACTTCTAAACTTAGAAATAGACTTAATTATAAAAGGATGGTGAAATAATAACATAAACAATAGTAAACAATTAAAAATGTTCACAGTGCAGGGCATGATGGAACCCATAAGGTAGATCACATGCCACCACACTTACATTGTTTTAGAAACCTTACTGAGAAAGCAGAAAGCAATGCTACTACAAGAAACAGTACCGTTATACAAAGTAAGTTATTGCATATTTATCACATTTATTTGCAACTCACATTAAGGCTAGATTTACTAAAATCATGACAGATGTCTAAGCCCCACTTTCAGTTGCTTAATGAAGCAACCAACTTCTACGATCCACCTTTCACTAAGAAAAAAAACTGACCCAGTGAACATAGAGGGCAGCCAGCAACTCCTATGCATAGGACACACTTGCTTCATTCTAAAGATTTCCTCTGGAACATGATTTCCCGAACAGTTGACAGGAGCTTCAAGTTCACTGTTTCATAAACATCCCCTTTATTTCACAGAGCACTAGATTAAAAATAACTAATTTATCTGAAAAGTCAACTTACTTATTAAAGATTTCCACAGCCTGATATTTAATCATGCCTTAGGAGAGTCTTGTTAACTCCACAGGCAATAGCAGCCTCAGGATATGAATACAAACTGCCTCACCATGAGTAAAGGCACTTTTGCTGGGAAATCAACTACTTGCACTAAATAAGTAACTAAAGATTAGTTTTCACCTGAAGCTGAATAACATAACCTCCTCCAGCATTATCCCACTTTCTCAATTACTGCTCTTCACCACATACTGGTTTGAATGGCCTTTGGATACTTTTTTTTTTTTTTTTTTTAAAGTAAAGTGAGACAAAGCTAGATTGAGCTATTTCACAATTTGGTCTTGAAAGACAAGGCCCTCAGGACTCTTGTCCTCCAGAAGAGGAAATGCTGCTGTCTGTTTCTCTTGTTGACTGATACAGAAGTCCAGCATTCCTATCGCCAAGACTATTACAGCATTAGAATCCCAAATCACCTGGTGTCGGGCAGGTAAATAAACCAGGAGATAGTTCTAAAGCTTTCTGAGGAAAAGCACTAGGTAACAGATCAGGTAGGGTAGATGAAGTAGGGTGGTTGAAGGAAGACCAGGATTTTGGTTTTGGATGACAGAGGAGTTGCATAAAGACTCAGTGCATGAGCATACACTGTGGTAAGACAAGGGCATAGTTCATGCAACCTAGGAAGTCATCAATTACTCACCTTTATTTTAGAGAAAAGTCCATTTATAAATCTGGGACAATATGCTTGCTACCACAAGCTGCTGTGACAAGTAATGTCAGTGCATTTCTCTCAACTGCAAAGCGCATGTTCAAAACCCCTTAACTTGAATCATGAAGGTGATTTAACAGTTTGTCACCTCAACTCTTACTGGTTTTTTTGGTGTATGTCCCCCCCCATCTTTGATATTTTTACTAAGAAAGTGTTGTAGCTGAAAATGACTGAGGCTACATCATTTAAATGCTAACTGCAAGTGCAATTCAATACTACTGGATATATACAGAGCATACACTACACGAGATCTGAGGACAACAGCACAGAATACGATACTGGACACCCTTAGAATAGTTATTGCAAGCCTGATTAAGCCATTTAGTGTCACACAATGACTCTATTATCCATGCACCTGCCTTTCTCCTCAGCGAGATCTACAGAGGCTTATTTACATTCAGTATAAATTCTACACAAATAACCTCTCACAGACAAAGTTTAAGCTTTTCTTTTTTGAAAGCAGCTGCAACTGGGATAACACAAAACTTTGCAACTTCTTATCCAGCTGGGGACAGTGCATAAGAGTTGAAGCTAGACACTTTGAATGGCTAAGTTCTACCCAGTTTGTGTATCCTTACTGAAGAGAGAGGCAGAGTAGGTACAAGAAGTCAAGACACTATATAAATTTGACTCCAAGTACTACTGATCGCCAGCCAACAGAAACTATCAGTGTGAAGGAGGGAAGGTATTTTGGGCAAGCAACCAGGACAGAGAAAGGATGACAGGCTGAGGCTAAGTTTGAAATGTGCAACTTGGTTTCAAAATCACTAGGACAGAGGAGTCCTCTGAGAACCAGTTTCATTGCCACTGCCGTAATATTGCAATGTACTACACAATAATGACCAACAAATCCAATAATTTACATCAGAGAAGTCAAAAGATTAGCAAGCTGGTATATGCCAACAGTCAAAAAAAAAGTCAATGACATTCTATAAAACACACAGCAAGTTAAAAAAAACCAACAAAAATAAAAAAAATGCCCTCTAACGCACAGCTAGGAACAACTGAACTGAACACTGGAAAGGTACTTTGTACTTTTGTGGACAAAGGCTATACTGCATTTAAAGTGCAACACTTGACTATGCCACTCCCATACTGCAAAGAGAACAAACCCTTCCAAACCATCAGTCAGTCCCTGCATTGCATTTAAAAACAAACAAACAAAACAAAAAAAGTCCTGAGAAAGAGTAAGGCTGGATAAGAAACCCCCTCAATTGCAACAGGCAAGTCTGATTTTTGCTCCTATTAAGTCTGCTGTCAGAGGTCAAAACTTTTCATTATGGCATCATGGTCAAACTTGAAACTCAAGAAAGCTCTTGATGAGAAAGCAAATTTGTAATGGCCATTGCATGCCACAGAACGTCCCTCGACATTTTCTGACAGTGGGTCTTCACTGGAGCAACACATCTCATATGCTGCATCTGCTTAAAGAGAGAAAAAACATGAAACAAATTTTAAACAGAGTTATCAGTAACAGTATCAATAACAACACAAAGTCATACCTCAAATGTATACTCAATATCTATGACAAAATCTGTATATCTGGTTATAAACAGAAGACGGTAACTCAAACCAGCCATATTTACATGTCATCTGGTGCCTAGAACAAGTTTTAAAGCACGGCAATCTGGGGACACTTTCAATAGCGAGTTTTACCCACAGGTGCTGTTTTGCAAGTCATCTCTTAATGCAAAAGAAAGAAATATCACTATTTCCTGAGCAGTAAGTAAAGAACTGTGCGAACTCTCCAGAGCAGTCCAACGTCAACTGCAGCTTATTACTAACAGGACAGAAAGCCTTGAACTAACACTCAATTACCAGCACACTGGTGACTCAGATGCTGTTTTCCTAAACCAGCTTTCAGTTACCTTTTCCTCAGCCACCTAGTATAATCTGACAGTTTTAATAATTAAGGAGAAGAATTGCAAAACCAATATGAAGCAGCACATGAAGTTAACCAAGTATTAAAAAAAAAAAAAAAAAAAAAAGAACTCGGACTGCCTTAGAAAAACATGGCTTTATAACATTTGGTAGGTTAGCATACAAGGAAAAACCCCCAATCATCATTATTCAGCTGCCTTCAGCTGTAATGTGTAACAACGGATGAAAATTCAGACTGCACTTGCCTGTTTCAAAGTTATCTTGAAGTCTTCTTGTATTAAGCTTTTTTTCACATTTCTGGTTAAAAGAATGACCATATATTATACACTTCATAAAGAAACGGCATTCTATTTCTTAGGGGTATAGCTTAAGCATCAGCTAAAAGGCATGCTGGTTATATTTGCTTTGAACACACCCCCTGATCCGTGAATTATTTTACTTATAACACATCATGAATTCCGTCATTTTACTTCATCTAGTAAGCATGCTTCAAGTCCACAAGTCTTTCAGAAGCATGTAACCTTTTAACAGTTAACAAACCATTTTTAAAATGCAGGCTTTTAGGGAAAAATTTTGAGTGCTTTCTAAATGTTTTAAGATCTTGTACATGACAGTATGAAACCAAAGCTGCACACGCATAAGCCCATTCTTCAATCAACTTGTCCCAAAAAACAAGGGGAATGTATTTACAAACATGCTGCTACTGTCAATTAAATTAGCACGCAACAGAGACACAAAGTTAAAATTCTGCAGGGAAGAGTTCAGTTTTAGCCGCAGGTATGCTGCTGTGGGTATACAAATACAGAGGAAAGTATGGCCCCTTGCTGTATGTACAAATTAAGAGCTCCCCAGCCTCCAAGTTGTACTGGAAAATTATCACTGGGACAAGAAATATTTAAACTTCAAAAGACAATCATGAAAATGCAAATGAAACAACAGAAGTATTTAGCAAAGTCTGTAAAGAGCTTACAAACTCACTGAGGCGTGTTAACAGTTCCACTTTTTTCCATCAAGATCCTACACATTGTCATTACAGTTTTTTTTATACAGCCAAATTTCTGGACAGTCAGTTCTTTGACTTTTCATTCTTCTACTCTCAGACCCAAATGCAACTATTTCTTGCTACAGTGAGGATTTTACAGGACAAGAATTCATGGTTTCTGCACTTTTACATGAAAAATGGAGAGAAGGTAATAACCACAAGCCAGAATGGGAAGAATCTAGCTTACAGCCAGTAAACAAGAAAAACTAATTGTTGTGTAACAAGACTCCAGGCTTACAATAATATATCACATATGAATAAATAAGACATGTACTACACTGACTTACGATACGCTACAGTAGGCTATTACCTGACAGGAACCTGGAAAGCTGCAGGGTTGTCTACTGAAACAGTTGACAAATTTTCAACTGCTAAAATAAGACTTACTTTCAAAATGCAAACTTTCAAGTTTAGTATGCTTGTCTATAGATGTATATGCACTAAAGGTACAAAATGTTGTATCTCTACAAACACGTACCAAATATGCTGATCAAATACACTTTTGATAGATATGCACACTACTTTCTTTCAGCAAGGACATTGGCCTGCACATTTGTTAGGCATTACTGGAACCTGTTAACGAGACAGCCACTGCATGATTCTTACCAAGGTATTGTTTTGCTTAACTGGTTGACTGTGGACTCCATTTGTTCTCTTCTTTTGGGTGGAAGTGTCTTGATGCTGCTTTCTGCCATTGCTCCTCAAGCTCTGAGTCTGTCATTAAGTCCAAAAAGTAGTGAAGAGAAGAGTTTAAATGGTAGCATTGAACATCACTGCACTGACACTTCCTACTTACTATTAAAACTTTCCTCCAAATAACCAGAAAATATGTAAAGGGAATCTTTTCTAGACAAACCAAAGCACACTGAAATTAACCAAACATACACACAAGTTACAAACAGTTATCAGCTGTTACTCAATCTCTTGCACTATTACATACACTATATTACACAATAAATTCAGTTCAGTGAGTTCCCATACACTGATGCAGATATATTAGTGGTACCCAAAATGTTTCAAAATGGTACACAGAGGACACCAAAATGTTGAGTAGTAATTGCTAGCTATACCTGAAACAACACAACTACCACCCGATACCCACCACCTCTGATGTCATATAAATGAGAGAATCCCCAAGATTATTTTTTTTCCACGTTTTTATTTTTGCATGCTACAGTGATTAATTCAATATTTTCATTCCAGAGAGGAATCTTTATGAACAAAGACATCTGTTTTAAATAGCCCAGATGCATATGTTTGCCTAAGAAACAACCTACCTTTATTTTCAGAACTTCAGACATCTCAGGATGATTATATGGCTTCTGTGGCTGTTTTGGCTTCACGCACTGCTCTCCTGAAGAGCCATCTGTAAACAGCTGCTGACTACAGCGAAGTTTGGATCTAATACAGAAAAACACACTGAGTTTACAACACAACTTCAAACCTATTGACAGCAACAGAGAAATAGGAAAGATTTTTCTGCTTTTTTGAGAACAACCTGCAAGACAAGCTTAAGAAACCTAGTACGGAAACTCTAATAATGCTCACTGCATTCATCCAACTTTGTTTTGCCTGCTGCTAGGAAACCTATGTTCTGCAGAGACAGCAGGCTAGGTCCACATTCGCATTTGTCCTGTTGTCAGTGTTGGTGCTGACCTGACTCAAATTACTGGAGCATAGCCTTCTCTTTGGGACCACAGGTTTTGAAGTTTGCTCTTACACTTTTAGCTCAACTGAATCAAAAGCCAGCAGCATTTGTTCCCCTACTGACCCCCACAGATTTTATTTAGCCAGCTACTGCTGATAGTACTTTACAGTCCTACTTTACCGAGTCCTATTTTTCCTCTGTGGAAGTGCTGAAAGTGTTGAACTTGAAGCACTGCAAGTTACCTACTTGTTTTAGCTTCTGTTTTATGACTTCCCATAGGCAGGACTCATGACATTATCTCAGTTCTGACACAGGTGAGAATTTACCAAAAGAAGTATATCATGACATTAATTAACTTCTCATCCTATTTACAGTCCTATGAGATATGCCCACAAATTTTCTTTTTTTTATTAACCCGTTCTATTACTGGAACATGAATACTTGGAGAAAGAGAAAGGACAAACAGCTTTGTATGACCAATGTATAGAAAGGATATAGAGGTGTTAAACTGACCTGGTTCTTACCTAGCTTTTTCCAAGTTGGGCTTAGAGGATGTGCTCCCTGTAGATGAGCATCCATTGTCACTATCTGTGGAATCTCCATTCCTCCGGGAAATCCATTCCCTCAATGGCCTGTGAGCAAGGAGGAATGCAAGAAGATCTACTTACTAAAACAAATCTAAAGAAATTAAAGTTGTCTGAAAGGCACTGGCCTAGCATTTGCCTCAAACATACCTGATGAAGGGAATTGCCATAAAAAATTTGTTAGGTGCCAAACCCAGCTTGGACTTCGGAGTCATATCATTTCTGTGGCATGGTAATTTGTCAATGGAAAACCAATCAATATTCTAGAAAAACAAGAAATATAATCAAAATACCTACTACTGTAGCCTTACACGATGTTACAAATGTGTATCAACCATGATTATTTTCCTTAATTAAAAAATTACAATGGAAGACTTTAATTAACAGACCACAACAGGTTCTTTCACAACAGGTTAATTAACAATGGGGTCATTCTTCTGACTGCAGCTACAGAGTAACAGATGCTACAGCACATCTACTCACTGCAAGATATGGCACCTAAAATATGAAAGGTATTATCCAGCAACTAAATTCCAAATAAGGGTTTCAAAAACCAACCAAACCACTGCGCACTGAACGCCATAAATAAAGGCTTTAAATAACTTTCAAAGCCACTACTGTTCTTGGTATTTTTTATTTAAAATGCCATGAAAACTAGAACACCAATGCTAGTTCAAAAATCATCAGAAAGAAGGGGATTTAGTTTGCAGAGGAAGTTTCAGGTTTTTTTATAAAAGAAAAAAACACTGGTAAAGGACAGGATTTGTGTTATAATTTATACATTATAGTTTTAACTGTAAACTGTATACTTTGCAGAATGGGGAATGAAATCAGGAATTATGAATATATGCAGTGTAGAAGAACCCACATGAGCTTTTCTATTGCAGAACAAGTCTACTACCTAAGTGTTTACTTCTCCCTTTCACAGTACCTTTTAAAAGCCTAGAGGTACACTAGCCATCCAAAATAGTTCCCATTTAGTGTCCCCTTCCCAACCTCCTCCTTCAAATACACTATTCTCTAAGTCTGGATAGTATTAGCCATGAAACGGAGAACACAATTCTTAGTTTCTCCTTCTGATATGTAGGCCTTTGTATATTACCAATTAGTAACTACATCTTCAGAAGATTATATAGTTACATGTGCAGCTATAACTAAAAATAACATTAAATAATTAACAAACACCCCCCACCTAAGAGAAAAGAAGGGGAGAATTATAGTTTGACAGCATGCTCTAATGTTGTTTTCATGATGAATGGAGACGTCGGACAGATGGTCCTTTGCAGTAGAGTGACAAGAAGTTGACAAGACCCTACGGTGCAGAGATGCCATTTGTACCTAGTATTTGAGGTATCATCATGCTTGGTAGTTTCATCATTTTACAGACAGCTTTTAAAAATAAAAAAAAAAAAATAAAAAAAAAAATCAAGCTCCACAACATCGTTCCTACAGATTCAAACAAGATAACACATACCCGAATTTCCCTCCTAGTTTTGGGGTTGAATTTTGTGTTCTTGGGAACTCCTGGAATGATGTACAGCCGTGCTAACTGATCATTAATTCGCAGTTCAATGTATTCTTCTTTGCAGATATAATCTTTTATGTCAAAGCCAGTTTCTTCAAACACCTGAGAAGCACACATATGAAATCAGTGTGTGTATTCAGATTCATCCTTTCAGGACTCATCATCACAAGGGAAGGAATGACTGTTTTTCAGATCTATCCATGAAAGCAAGCCACAGCTGAGAAAAACAAGCCTTTACACATAGATATATGCTCAATAATAGATAAAGTATCTAAAATCCTATGTGCTTTACATTTCTCTAAGACAGACAGACCTGTAATAAAAAGTTGAAACAACTCTATTATACCCTGATGTAGAAATTTATCAATACGGATGGGGAGTCTCTAGCTGCTCCTCCATGCTGCAGGATGCATGGAAAATCTTATTGACAGCAACTGCTATTTGGGGAGCAAAGACATGTTCAAATTCTAGCAGGGTTTACTTGCACCTCGATTTTTCTTCTCTTTCAACAATCCTTCTACTTCATGAACCTTCTACCCCCAATACCTACAATCATTTTTACGTTCACAACAAAACCCAGCGATAGGTCAGCAAAACTTTCACTACAAAATTCAAACTGCATGTTCACACCAACAAACAAAACTGCATTGTCAGCTACTTTAAAGAAAAAAATAGGAGTGTTACACCTGTTGGAGATTACTGAAAAGACAACGGTATTTTAAGCGTGCTCTGTGTGTGTTCATTGCACAATAGTGCAATGCTAAGATCTAACATCTTATTTTGCTTTTCCAAGTCTATATTAAATATATGAGTGGTCTGAAGAACACCATCAGGGAATAAGAAATTTTTCATTCATGCATCTTTGACAGGTATATGTAAAAAAAAAACAACAAAAGATTCATGATTTCTCAGTCAAACTGTGAAGAAAACTAATGCATCTTACTACCTTCCCTCATCTTAATTTTCTCTTTCAAAAATTCTGGATGTATTATGCTACATGAATAAATCCCACAGATTTTGTTTTTCTGGTTTTACTTGCTACATACATTGATCCTTGTTCCTGCATCACCGATAAAGGGAAAAGTAAGTTCTTCACAATTTTTACATAATCTTCTACAACTTCCGACTCAACTGTTTAGTCTGTTTATACAGTCCAGTATGCATAAGCTAAATTCCCATTATTCTACCTTTTTACAATTATGGTGGTCCTTGAAATAAATAATCCAAAAGCCATAAAGTACATAAGATACCCCAAGCACCAAAAATAATAATTAAAAGTAAATTGACAGTTCACTAGAGAAATTTAAAGGTAGTATCCACTTAACTTAGCAAGTTAGTGCAAAACAAAAACATCGAACAGTGGTTTTAAATTATATAACCACACCCTTGATTATCACTCTGGAACCCAGAAAAGCACTAAAAGCCACAACAGTAGACTCCTGCAATAACAGGCTATTTATTTACCTGATTTCAATAAAGAGATATCTGAGTAAAATGGCTTTTCATCTAACACGTATATCCTGCTCTCAGCAAAATTTCATTTCTTTAGCTCAAATTTAAGGGAATCAAATATAACTTACCTCTCTAGCAGCACAGTCATAAGGAGCCTCTTCTTTATTCACTTTCCCTTTTGGAAATCCCCAACCAGACTTTGCTAAATAGCCTTGAACCAAAAGAACCTGCAAAATACAAGGGAATGCAACTGTCAAAACCCCACTGTTCTAACCGATTTCTATTAAATGTCTTCCCTTCACCATCGCCCTCCGTCTCCAAAAGGATACTTTAGCCTGGATGAAGGTTAGGTTTTCTGTGTTCTAGCAAGAACCATGAATTTTTTTATAGGATCACACAACTCAGAATAAAAAACACAAAACTGAGTAGGAAAGCAAGTGGAAGGGTGTTTACTGTCTCCTGTATTATATTTCTGTACACACTCAACAGTGTCAAGAAACTGTCAGGCCTTTGTGAATCTGAAGCACACCCCGCCTGCCTCAGGTGAAAAACATAAACAATAAAAAGATTACTTCTGCCAGCATACACCATCCTTCCCTCTAGCTCTTCACAATTATTTCCATACTTACATTTTCAAGTGTCTCATCAAGAATAATTGCACCATAGGTTGGCACTCCCATTTTGTATTCTTTCCACTCATCTAAAACCTTTTGTACATCTTCACCTTGAGGCAGTAAAAAAGGGCAGTGATTGAAGAGTATAGCAGCATGTTAAGGAAGATAAACTTAAGCATCCAGTTTCAAATCACATGCAGACATACAAAAGATACTCACTCAAAATTTACAATAAGCACACTCCCTCCCCTAAGTGCTTTCAAGATATATTCACTTGGAAGTTAAAAATATTATGAATAATCCATTATCAATATCTAAAGGTTGGAAAGGATCAAGTAATTTGGCAATTCCAATAAAAGCCAATTAAAAAAATCAAAAAAAGACAAGAAAAAAGAAGGCACAAGGCTGCTTGTTTGAAGGAAGGTCCGCCCCAATTTTGAAGAAAAAAAATCCACATAACAGTTATTTTGAATATGTATTATTTATAAACACTTTTTCTTCATTTTGAAGTGAGACAGACAAAAATACAGTTTCATCTCCTGTTTGAAGTAAATGGAGATAATTTTTTCCCAGTCATTTGTTAAGACTACAGTACAGAATCTGTACTTAAGTATTTACTATGCAAAAAATTTATTTTTAATGGCATCAAGTTAGAGTTCTGAATTCTAATACACTTTACCAAAACTCACCATGCAGAGAAAACATGAAGAACCTTTATAACTCTAAAACTCTGAAAGCAAATCTATACGTCCTTAATAAAATATTATATATTACATATAAAATTATACTACTAATAAAAAATATTCCATAGCAGAGCACTTAAAAACAGGACACTGCAGCAGAAGTAATATTTCTATCAAATTTGAGCTGGAGAGGGACAGATAATCATTAACAAATAACATCTACTACATTGTATTTTCCTGCACTGCCTACAATTACTAGAAGAATTCCGTTGGTCTAAAAATACATTTATGACTAAAAACATACCTAAAATAAATTAAAAAATAACTGTGTAATATCAAGCATTAGAAAATTATCATATTTTAAGAGTTTATTTTTAAAACAGAAGCTGTAGTGTTTCAAAGTCTCTGTTATCAAACTAACAGAGAGTACATTTTGTAGTGAAGACACAGATAATGTCAGCATGAAGTATTTCGGGTAGTGAAACCACAGGTAACATTATGAAAAGTTAAAAGCAATACTCCAATCCCACATCAATAACATATGGGAAAAGATTAAAACTAAAACACTTGCTGGATGGAAGTCAGAAGTTTTTCTCCAGCAAGGACTAGATAATGTACGTACCAGCAGCCCTTGTAAGCAATAAAAAAAAGCAGAGGCCAACCATATGAATTCAATAAAATGCATCCTCTCCCCTACCAACAGAACTGTTTCTAGGAGCAACTGTCAGTACTTCCAACAAATAAATACCACTGCCCATGGGGGAACACATACCACCTTCAAATATGTTAACATTCATGTCACTATATACTTGGAAAGGGATTAAATTAAGGAGACAAAACACCATGAAGAGGTCCAACAGCTCATCTTGGAAACCCACCTAGTCTGCCAAAGTACAACCATGAAAAAAAAAATTCTCAAAGATCAGAAATTACCTGGGTTCTGTAGTTCTTCAGCAGTCTGAGAAACATCTCTTTTGTGGATGACACAAAATTATGGGAGCAATGGACAGATAAAATCAGACACCAAATAATCACATATCAATACTAACTTTTAATCGCTAACACATGAACTGACATTTTCTTGCTGTAAGTATGAAATTTCATTAACAATATTCAGATTTATCCACTGAGACAGATAACAATCACAGTAATAAAAAGGATATCAGCTTTAGCAAAGTCTCTTATCCCACACTGAGGTAATCCTGGTGTGTTTTGCATGTAGAAATCCAAGTAAAACCAATGGGCAAGTTCAATCTGAAAACACACTCTAATTGCATTGTCTCTCTCCTCACTTGGAATGTGCAAAATAAATCGGCTGCCAGAAAAGAATGAAGAGTAAGATTAGCCAAATCTATCAATTTAAGTAAATCTAACAATAAAAATGCATTGCAACAGTGGAATTCCATTAGCACAGAGCAACAGACCGGCAGATCTTCCTGGTGGTCTGGACAGCAAAAGCTTTTCACATCAAAGTAAAATACAGCTTCTAAAGTCAGAATAGAGAATGGATCATGATGTTCTTTCACAAAAGTCAATTACAATAAACTAAAATTAACTGTTGTGAGAATAGGGAGGGTAAGGACATCCTACATAAATGGCTGTATTACAAGAATTAAAGCATTTTTACATGTCCAGTAAAGAATATCTGCAAATGCTGATAACAGAAGTCAAGGCATTTTTTTCTGGACACAAGTTAAACATAGCTATGTATTTTCACTTAAAACCACAGTACACTATTAATTTATGTAGATTTTAAAATTCAATATGATCCTATTAATTTTCTCAGTCTGAAACAGAACATGGACAACTGGTTTATTTTTCAAGTCTACTTTATCCTTTAGCTCAGATACTGGCATACAAATACAGAGTCCTGGAGATGTAAGCGTTAAGTCACACAATGTGATAGCTTATTTCACTTAAGCAGAAGCAGCTTTGCTTATTTATTTATTTGTAAGATCCAGAACAGAATCTTCTTTTTAGAAATTTAAGGTCATCCAGTTCATTGAACTTAAACCATTTAACAGAGATCTTTCACATTCAATTCATGAGTACCACCAGCTAAATTCCAAAACTGCATAATATCATTGCCAGAAACAGAAATGCTTAAGACATCTTTGTTGAAAAGTTTGCTAAGTATAAATTGTTAAGGGCTGTCAAAAGTGGTTGCCTCTTCCAAGGCAACGCTGGCCAAGGACTACCTCCTGCCTGGCTAGTGGAGCCCAGCCCCATGCACCGTGGTCTCTGCTGCCTTCCCTTTGGCAGTAGCCTTCCCGTTTAATCAGTAGCAAAGCCCAGCATGTATCCCAGGGATGGACACACACACAGAGGACACTAACACAGCTGGTCACACAGGCTGCCACAGACAAAGTGCTGCCTTCAACAGCACCTACATACGGGACTCACACAAAACACAGGCACAGAGAGCCAAGACTGCCTCTGCTCTTCAGCTGGCAGAGGCAGAAGGTCGCTAGTGCAGGTGCACACTTGACACTCTCCCTTTTCACAAGTACATGCACATTTATGGGTCCCCCCAGTACCAGCATGGCTTCCCCTCTCCACCCAATACCCCTGCCCAGATCCCAGGCCCTCATGCCCATCACACAGGTCCCCAGGCTGGTCCAGCTTGAAGTTTGCTAGTGAATACATGTGCACAACAGGTTTGGGGAAGGCAAGATGCTCGCTCCTCCACCAGCCCAGCAGCTGGCACCAGGCACATGGGCTGCAACCCACAGTCCTGCTCCAGCCATCATGCTCTGCCCCTCACTCATGTAGTTCCCCAGCAATAGCTGGTTATCAGGACACTCACCATTCCCACCCCAGAGGCTGGAAGCCAAGACCCCCACCCACATGAGCCGCTGGCATCAAGACATCCCCCCTCGCTCCAGTAGCTGACACCTCATCCACTCACATACAGAGCTGGCACTTCATCCTTGCAGCATGCATGTGCATGGGGTAGAGAGTGAGATTACGCAGAGAGAAAATTAAGAAAAGATTTAATAAGAAGATGGAAGAAGATAGGACAGACCATGGCAATCAGGTGAAAGGCTCAGCCAGACAAGCGTACTGACTGGCCCAGTTTTACACACAACCAGACCCTCTTATACCCCTTTCTGCCCGTTTTGTCCCCGCTGCGCCCACATCCCACTGTGTGGGATCCCCCCTGGTTTACAGCCTTATCCGATGCAAAGGCCAGGCTAATCGTCCTGGAAGCAGTGCCCATGGTTTTGTGACAGCCCATCAATTAGCGTGACTGCCAGGTTTGTTTCTTGTCATTGTCTCCACTTTTGTCTTCTGAGATCTGTGTCTGTAAATTTTTGGTTCTGATTTCCCCTTTTTTCCCCTTAGCTTCCCAGGAGCAGGTCCTCACTCAGATAAACTTGCTGGGGTGAACGCTCCTGCACCTCCTCATCAATCTGTGGCCAGGTTTGGTTCTCATCACCACTTCCCTCGTCATTGCTCCCCCAGGTTTGTGTCCCTGTACTTTTTACTTATGGCTTCCTCCTTTTCTTATTATCCCATATTTGCATTGAGACAGGTCCCTTAAAGCAGCAGACACTCTCCCTTACGTAAATAACCTTATTCACTTCAACAACAATAATTTCCTACTTGCCCATTTTCAATCGGCAATACCAACCCCCAACTGCTTCTTTCTTTTTGAAGGCTCTATTACTGCTGAAAATAGCCCTTACACATAAAGCTGCTGTAGATTAAAGGTAAAACAATCAAAGTCTATTTTAGAACTAGCTGATGATGTTTTCTTGCCCCACCACTGCAGCTGAAGATAAATCTGAACCTACAATGTGTAGAAGTAGTACCAAAAAGGAGTAAGAACATGCCAGCATTAAGCTTAGAGTAACAAGAGCAAAGCCAATTAGAACACTACTTATTAACCAAAAAGTTAACTACTAAGTTACTTAGAGTGACTTAAGAGCTAACAACAGGCATCTCTAGGTTGTACTAGGTGCAGGTGTCACCAGCAGGGCAGCTGAAGGGTGGCCTCTGTTGAGAAGAGTCCAGGGCTGCCCCGTGCTGGACACCACTGGCTCCAAAGGACCCACCACAGGGCACAGCTGAAGCCAACAGCCAAGATGGTGGCACCTCTAGGAAAGTGTATTCAAGAAAGGACAAAAATGCCAGACAGGCAGAGAAAGAGAGACAAAGAGTGTGAAACAGCTGCACAAACACCAAGGTCAAAGAAGAAGGAGGGAGAGGAGGTGTTCCATGGCAGAGCAGATGTCCACGCTGCAGCCTGTGGAGGATCCCATGCACATGGATAATTCCTGAAGGAACTTGCCCATAGGACTGACCTCACACTGGAACACGGGCAAAGCATAAGGAGGAAGGAGCGCCAGAGACAAACTGTTATGGACTGACCACAATCCCCATTCCCCATTCTCCTACACTGGTTAGGGTGCAGGAGATAGAGGAGTCAGGAATGATGGCATGAAGTTGAACCTGGGAAAAACAGGGATGTAGGGGAAGGCAGTGTTTAAATTTTTTTTTGTCTTCATTTCTCTCTACCCATATATGTTTTAATTGGCAACAAACTAAACTGATATTCCTCAAGTCCAGTCTGTTTTGCCCATGACAGTAACTGGTAAGAAATCTTCCTGTCTCATCCTGAGCAACAAGCTTTTCCACCCTATTTTCCACCAC